TTTCATCATAATGAAGTGCATGCAATGAAAGTCTTGCTTTCTGTGTCTCTCCTTTTTGCAGGTTATTGGAGCAAAGTGGTGAGGTGGTGGTGCAGAAGATGTAAAAAAGGACAGTAATTTTCCTTTTCTATTATTTTGTGTGCTTGTTTCATCATAACGAAGTGCATGCAATGAAAGTCTTGCTTTCTGTGTCTCTCCTTTGTGCAGGTTATTGGAGCAAAGTGGTGAGGTGGTGGTGCAGAAGACGCAGAAAAAGGACAGTAATCTCTGTCCTATTATTTTGTGTGCTTGTTTCATCATAATGCAGTGCATGGAATGAAAGTCTTGCTTTCTGTCTCTCTCCTTTGTGCAGGTTATTGGAGCAAGGTGGTGAGGTGGTGGTGCAGAAGACGCAAAAAAGGACAGTAACCAATATGACAGACAAGAACTGCTTTCAATCAAGCTAAAATGGACATTGAAAATGGAAATAATTTTAAAAATATTCTAAAAACATGATTATTATTCTAGAGGCAATAATAGCAATAACAACAATAACAATAATAAAAAAACCAAAAACAAAGAGTACTTGCAGTGGAGAATCACCAAGGAGGGAATGGCAAAGCTTCACCCAACTTGTTCATTTTCCCTCCAAGAACATTTGTCCACCAGCTAGTTAAAATTCCTCCTTACCACCCCGGCTCCCAAAACAGAAGGAAAGAAAAGCAATGGAATTAAATATAATTTACCACAAACTACTTGCTTTACATAGTATTATCATTCCCTTTCTTTTTAAACTCTTCCAAGCGAAGCAGCCACTTGTTCCAGTACTGGGAGCACAGCTCAGAGCTCATAAAATGTGAATGTGCAGGAGAACCATCTTTATAGGCAACCACAAGTAAGCCACAATTAACCTAGGAAACAAAGCAAATCAATTGCTCATCAAACCATATGCAATTTTAGTCAATGTTCATTAGGGATATATAGTTGAAATGCTTACTAAATAGTAGAAATGGGTAAAGATGAACAGCATTTCACTCAGCTCCAAAATATTTTTGTCCTTTTTGTCACAGGAGCTGACAAAATATAGATTATATAAATCTGAGATGAGATCATGGTTTACTATAAAAATGCAATGTTTCCATTAACCAAGGCATTTTGTAGACGATAAGAGTTTCTGGATTTTTTGTGCAAAATACCACTGTCTCCAGAATTCCCTTCATAGAAGCATGAGCCTTGTGCACTACTTCCCATAATATCAAAAGCTATTACCAGGTACCTACTAAATTTAGTCAACCACCTACTTTATCTGAAAGATCATAATCTGCTTTTAAAAAACTTGACAACTGTATTCAAAATGTTGTCTGCAATTTCTCTAGGGAAGCTCAGTTGTTGATAATGTTGAGACTGCAATATTTTTGGTCTAGCATGCTACATTTTACAGAATGAAATAATTAATATTTTACTTGCACATCTCCACAACTGTTCATAGATTGATTCCTACTATGACAATTCTGATAGGACATCTTTTCATAATGGATTAGTATAAATAAAGATGCCACAGGCACAGTCAAAAGAGCTAAAGCTGATTACTTTTTTCTATTTGAAGTTTTTTCTTCATCCTGACATTGCTACTAGTGATAGAGCGCAATCAACCTACATCACTTATAGGTACTGGCTACTATTTAGTAAGACTGGAATATTGGAACTGGAATATTATGCAGGGAAATAAATTCAACTGCAGTTAAAATGTGTGAACAAGAAATCAGGAAGTGCTGAACCGAGATGTTTCTTTACAGCTGTCACTTACCTGGAAGTCATAGTTGCTGTCATGGTTAATTGCTCCTATGTATGCTGCAATTTGTAATGGATTATCATATGTATTCTTAAGAAATGGCTTTGGTTTCTCTGAAGTCTTCCAGTCAATTACACATAATGTTCCGCTGTGAGATCAAATGTAAAAGATAACTTAATAATGTATATTCAACTAAAATTTGTGCTTACCACTGACCACCAAGAATGTAAAATCTTAGATATCACCAGACTAAATTTGAGGCCTAATGCAACTGTACAATAAGCCTTCACTTTTCCTCCAGCTGTAAACAAAATGGATGTGGATCTTGAGGATACTTGGAAAGCAGAAACATTTATTTTCATTTCCTTAGAAATCAGCAAAAATTTAGAGAGAGAAGTATGGAAATTGGCACTAAACTGAAGGCTCATCAAATCAAAAACACCTTAATAAAAATGGGAATATGTATAAAACCTTGTTTAGAATTAAATATAATTAGCATAAAATTACAATATGGAACTATAATAATACCAGATAGTATCTACCCTTTACAAATTTTATACTTGTTATTTGGTGACTACTTCATTTAGTAACTGTTTGCAAATATAATAGTAATAAACTAATAAAAAGTTCATTTTCCAATCAATGTGCACATTTATGAACAAATTTGAAGTTTCAAATAATTTTAGCCTGACTTCAGCATTACTTCCCCTCAAAAAGCCCTTTTGTGTTGACTGCACATTTTATCCACATGCCTTTTATTCCATTATCTAAGTCAATTATGAAGACGCCACAGTAAAGTCCAAATAGATGTTAACTCTGAGAAGTAGTCCAAACAAGAAGCACAACCAGGAGTACTAACTCTGCCTTTATTGTAGGGTTACATTAACAGAATATTGCAAGACTGAAAGTATTTCTCCCTAACTTTCTGTCTATTCTTTTAAAACTAGTCCCTTCTGAAACATTTCCCATGCCTTTCTCCTTCGGTGGGCTGAAATACCTCTTACATGTTGATTGCCCAGGCTGCGGCTTTTTATCTCTCACACACCTCATTACAGTATACTACATCCACAGCATTTCCTTAGTTCACTAATTCAGTCACAACTAATCTACAATTATAACACTCCACCTCCCCAGTTTTTTTGCTATTTTTATGCAAGCCAATGAAGATCTTTTCTATTACGATTTCTCAGGGTTTTCTTTTAACTGTGAATATAATGTTAAATATGTAACTCTGTAGTTCTTGATTTTGAACATGCGTTTCTTCAATTTTTTTCTTCAAATGGAAAGAATGATACATAGTTTACAATGATGAGAAAAGAACAAGTTTTATAACATGCTTTATCTTATTTTTGAGTGTAAGGGAAATATAAACCTACAATTGAATTTAGAAATATTGGGTATGAGGCAGATGAAGTTAAGCATTGAAGTCATTGTTTTAAATGAGAAAGTGAAACATGACCTCAATATATTTTAGTCCCCAAAATGTTTAACAAGGTCACAAACAATATTATCTAAATTTAACCTCTCACCGATATTCTGCTATGCAATCTATTAGGCCTTGGTAATAAAGGACCTCATGCTGGACTGCACTTTCAAGAGCTGTCACTCTAGTAATATCTTGCAGCACATGCTTTACACTCATCACATAGCTTGAAATGCTGGTATCTTCTTTCTGTTCCTTTATAACATTTTCTTTAGTTAATAGTAAGGCTTCCATGGCTGCATGAAAGTTCTTGCCTTTTTGAAAAGTATCTACAAAACAAGAAAAAAAGATATATAAAGTTGTTATTCAGGATTAAAATTGAATCTTCAGATTGAATCAGATTATTTTACAGAATGATAATAGAGACTCAGCATCACACTTAGTAAATGATTTTATAGGAGATAGCAGCCCAATTGCCCTTTTTAAAGTGACTCAAGCCTGGCTGGCAGAGGAATGGGTTATAGGACTGTCTGAAGGAATGAGGACTATTTAGCCACCTGGCAAATAAATTCCTTTGGATTCACTCAGAGGGATAGTGCAGCCCTTTTAGCAGCATTCAATATCATTGACCATGGTATCAATTCAATATCATTGACCATAGTATCTTTCTAGTGTGCCTGTGGGGATTAGGAGTGGGGGACATAGTGAGACAGTGATTCTCCTTCTCTCTCTGTGGTTAAGTACAGTCCATATTGATAGGAAGAAGCAATCAGGCCCAAAGTCTCTAGTGTGTTTGCAGTACTTCAGGCTCAGCCCCATTTCCTCTCCTGTTTAATATCTACATAAGGCTGCTGGATAAATAGATTATCTGTTGGTTTATGCTCAGGCGTCCTCAATATGCAGATAATATACAGTTGTCCCAGCCTCTTAATCCCAGACAGACCAAATGATGCTATCATACTAACACCTCACATGATCTTGATTATACAGAAAAAAGTGTGAAATGTAGTGAAATACAATCAGAAATGAACATGAAAAATAATGTAATTTCTCTACTGTGAGATGTTACATGAATTTAGAAAGGAAGGATGCTTTCAACTGTGGTGAAAAGCATCAGAAGAATCATGACAAAATAGATAAGGATAAAAAATAATGCATGTTATGGGAAGTTAAATATCCTAAGAAAGAAAATCAACACAAGGAGGGTTAAGAACTTAGTAACAATAAGTAGGTAAAAAAGTGACATATTTGATATTATATTTTCAAAATAATTAGACACTTTCTTTTAATTTAGGATACCATGAAAACATGAACAATGTCATACAATCTTTCTTCATCATTTGTTTAGAGCATCACTACAATGGCCCATCACTCTTGTGCTAGGCTCTGCATATTGTGTTCTCCATACTGCAGAGAATCAATCACTTAGAAAAGAAAAGAAAAGTCAGGATAATTCATTAATTTACCAGACATTTTTTCTTTTCTGGAGTCCATCCTCAGGGAAACTGGCTGAAAAACAACCTCCCCTCATGATATCATGCATCAGGTAAAAGCAATGCAAAACAAGTACAGGTAGTCCTCAACTTATGACCACAATAGAACCCAAAATTTATGTTGCTAAGTAAGACATTTGTGAGTTTTGCCTCATTTTACAATTTCACTTGTGTCACTTGTTAAGTGAATCACCGCAGTTGTGAAGTTAACAACATGATTGTTAAGTAAATCTGGATTCCCCATTGACTTTGCTTGTCAGAAAGTCACAAAGGCTAATCAAATGATCTTGAGAAACAGCAACCATCATAAATATGAACAAGTTGCCAAGCATCTGAATTTTGACCACATGATCATGGAAATGCTGCGATGGTCTTAAGTGTGAAAAACAATCATGTCACTTTTTTCAGTACCATTGTAACTTTCAACTGTCCCTAAACAAACTGTTGTAAGTCAAGGACAACCTGCATACTCTGAAAATGTGAGATAAATACTAAGAAAAAAATAGTCAAAATTGTTTAGCTTTTTTCTAAGATGCAAACATTTCTTGGTAGGTGAAAAACAGAGGATCAAATAAGCAAGGAAGACATTCTATACATTGCTGGATTTATATCCTGCCTTTCACATAGAAACTCAAAGCAGGATGTGTAGTGGATACATCTTCATATTTTTCAGCATTCCCAATGAAGTAGGTTGGGCTGAGAGAGAGAGAGACTGATCCAAAATCACATAGTAGTCAGGCCTCCCCATTCCTAAAGTAACACCTTCTCTACAGGACTTTTAACAAAGATTGTTAACAAATATTAACAAAAATGAAGATAATTTAAGCTACTTTATTAAGTAACATAAATCAGTGAAAATAAATCAAAAAGATTACTGATTAGTTAGAAAGAACACAACAAATAATATACTCCTATAATATTTTCTATGTAAAATTTTGATATTTATTAACGGAATAAAATTAAATATTTTCCAAGTCTCATAAAAATTAAAAGTAGACATAATAAAGATGAGGGGGGGAAATCACAACAAAATGTTTAATTCCTTTTTGTGTATCCAATTAGACACTATTGGAGTGAGGTGCTAAATTTATCAAATTTAACATCATTTCAATCTAATTGAACTCTAAGTTTTTACTACATATATAAAACTACCGTATTTTTCAGAGTATAAGATGCACCTTTTTTCCTCAAAAAAGAGGCTGAAAATCTGTGTGCGTCTTATATATCAACTACAGTATATTTTTTGCCTCCCAAAGCCCTGCCCCTTCATCAAAATGGCCGTGCATAGCCTTATGAAGGCTTTCAGAGAGCTTCTGGGGCTGGGGAGGGCAGAAATGAGCAAAAAATGCACCGTTTTTGTCCCCCCCCCCAGCAGCACTCTATAAGCCTCCATAAGGCTATGCATGCAATTTTTTGACAAAAAACAAGCCCGTTTTTGTGAAAAACTGGCCATTTTTTGCTCTTTTTTTGTCCCCCCACCCGAGCACCCTGCAAGCCCCTCCAAGGCTATTCATGCCTTTTATTTTAAAAAAATGGGCCCGTTTTTGCAAAAAACAGGTTGTTTTTCGGTAGTTTGCAGAGTGCAAAAACTTTTTTTTCCTTTTGGAAAGCTCTTTAACTGATGAAAATTACATTGATCAAGTGCTGTGCCAGCAGAAACAAAGCTTTAAGCTTTGTCAGCGATTTTCTGCTCCAGCACATGGATAAATACACCTGGAAACATCTACTAACCTACCTACTCTCTCTCTCCCTACCTATCTACTGTATTTCTCTCTTTATTTCTCTCTCTCTATCCCTCTCCCTACCTACCTACTTACACACTCTCCCTACCTACTTACACACTCTCCCTACCTACCTACTGTATCTATCTATCTATCTATCTATCTATCTATCTATCTATCTATCTATCTATCTATCTATCTATCTATCTATCTATCTATCTCTATT